GGTTGGACTCGATGATCTTAAGGGTCTTTTCCAACCTTAACGATTCTATGATTCTATGGTTCCATGACACTTCAGTTTTTGCAATCCCAGTGCATTCCAGAAGGTATTAACAATATAGCATGGGGTTTTGTTTAATAACAAACTTGACTTTTTCATTTTCACATGTGACTTAGGGTCCAGACCCAAAAGATTTTCCCCAGGGTTTTTTTATGCATGTTTGGGTGTGAAACTGCAACTGGAATGGGGCAGAGGCTGACGGTCAGGAGCTAGGCAGATAGTAATACCTTTGGACATAGATAATTCCTCTGGAGTTTTCAAAGAAAGCGAAAAAGGGAAGACCTCAAAAAAGGGTGCAAACCTTCAAGCTTTCTAGCACCTTTTGTTTATATATTTGTAATAAAAATGCAGCAAAACACAGCTCAGGATCTTACTAGGTAAAGCTTGTATCAGCTGAGCAACGTAAGTGCTCCCTGAGGAAAGTCAGTGCTGCACAGCCCTTTCACGGCTGCTGGGGCAAAGGAGGTGAGCGAGCTCTGCTGCTTGCAGCGTGGCTCGTGCCGTAACCAGCTGGTCCTGTGGCTGGGTTTCTACAGCAATCTCCAGCTGTGCACAGAGGAAAGACTGCGGCACAGTGGAAGGAGATGTCTGGTGTGGGAACGGCTGCGACTTGCGGCTGGGAGGATTCGACGCAGGGACAGCGAGGGTTAAAGAGGAACAGTGGTGGTGGTGGTGGCTGTCACCACAGATGAGCATTAGCTCTGTCTGTTGTTTTCTTTGAACACTTGGGAAAGTAAAAAAATACAAAGGATTCTTTTTTTATTATGTTGTGGTGGCTGTTCTTGTGTTTAAAAGGAGAAAAGAGAAAAAAATCAGAGCAACCTATTTCTTGTCAGCAGATGAGGTCTGAATCAAAATCCTACCTTCTAACATGGCTGAGCTTTGAAATCCAAGCCTACGTCTAGAGATGTAAGCAAAGGGAGGACACTATAATGTGTGATGATCGCCACTTCACCAAAATATTTCATTCAAATCAAAATGCCAGATCTGGCATATACTTTAATCTTTGGAAGATCCTATTCATTCCTGTTCTAAAGAAAATCTGGAGCAATTTCTATACAGGATCAGGAATTAAGACCAAAATTTTCATCTGTGACTTAGTTGCACATTTTCTGTGTGTTCTGGAGATGGTGGATATCTCAAATACTTGAATGGAGTCTGGAGCAGATACGGAAACACAGGGAAACTGTTTTCACTTCTGGATGTGACTGGCCACAGTTCTGTCAAAATATGTCCCATAAAAGCTCTGGTATCTTCCTCAGCAAAATATGTAGTTGATTCATGGCACAGCTCTGAGGACACAGGGCAGCTGCCTTGCGTGAGGTATGATCAAGAACCTGTCTCTCCCTCTTTCACTTACGGCAAAAATCTAGGTGTCCAGCTTCATTTTTACTTGGAAACAGAGTAAGAAATTGCTTTCAACTGTATGCATCTGAAATCCCAAGGCAGAGAGTATGTTTTCCTTGTTTTCTTGATGAAAGCAAATTTTCCGTTTACTTCTAGGAGGTAGTATTTGCAGGGAAAATTTCGTAATCCTTACGAAAAAACAGTATTCCCCAACCTGCAGCCCCCCTGGTGACATGAGGACTGCAGGTAATCTGGCACGCCGTAACTACTTGAGTGCTCATGTCTGAGCACTGTAACTACTTGAGGACCTTGCCAGCACACATGGACAACAGGGATCATGAGATCATCTACAGGCACATTTTAGAGGAACAAGAAACCTCCTACCAAGATAGAAACAAATTAAATCAAGGGCCTGATTCTGTTTCCCCATGAATTTAAAGGAAGTTTTACCACCGATTTTAACAGCAAACAGGACTGACCTTGTAGAGTATGTCATCAAACAGCTCCGGATTGCTTGAGAGTATTTCAACACTTCCATTACAAGCCCCATCTTTCAAACTTGGACATAAGTATTCACTTGGCAGAAATCTCAGCCTACAAGCAAATTAGGAGGTTTGTTTTTAACATTTTTTCCACTCACAAAGAAAAAAAAGAGAGAGAGAGAAAGAGCTCTTCTTGGATGTTTTTAAGTTGCTGCTGCTATGCAATAACATTTACTGTCTTTGCACTACCATACCTTAAATAATGAATTCACTCATTCTTAAAGAAAAAAATGCAAAATAAATTAATTAATTAGTTGATGTTGCAATCACTATTTTCAGCTGCAAGAGAGGTAAGTGATACCGGGATCAACCAGCAGTCAGGAAGCCACTGCTAGAACAGGGATGGTCACTTGGCTGATGTGTGGCTTGTGGGCCATGAGAGCTTGAGAGTCATCAGGCCATGGCTCACAGCACCAAGAGATGGGCTGTGTCTGACCAGAGCTGCTGGGTGATCCACGTGCATGCATGGGGATGGAGCAAGACACCTGGGGCTGCTGGAGTCAGTGTTATGTATCACCCCAAAACCCAGCTGTGTGTCCAGCCAGCCATCCCTACAGTGAAGCTGGGGGCTTTGCTGTCATCTTCTGAAAAACTCTTTGCGACCAAATTATCTGTGTAGCTGCTATAGGGACTTGAAAATGTTGATATGAGGTTCATGAGGTCAGAGAGGGGACCTGGTCCTCTGCTCCATGATCTCCTCCATGACCTCCAGCCTCACACCCCCAACTCCAATGAACAAAGCCAGGGATGCCAAATCCAGCTGCACTGTGAATGCAAGAGACATCCCAGAGCGCCAAAAGGTCCCTACCAAAGGTACCCTGCAAACTCAGTTTCTCTGTTTACTTTGCTACTGGCCAAATGTCACTACCTTCTTCCAACCTGAGTATGTAGCCAGATTTTTGGATCTTGCAGATTGTATTTATTAGGAGAAGAAACTGGAGATGAATTTAGCTATTTCCTCAAAGCAATCCCCTTTCCTTACAGACTTATAGAGAGTATACCGGGCACAGGACGACTCATGTAACCAGGGACAATTATTTTCTCCCAATTTAAGATGAAATTTCTTCTGGTGCCCTCCCAAATTGTTCTTTCTGTCAAAGCCGCTCTGTGTGGTCTGGCATGCCGGCTGCCTGCCTGCCTCTCCTCTGCATCTGCTTCTGGGCTCCCTGCATCCCTCTTTTACACACGCACACACACCCCCAGGTGCACACCCCACCATCACCAGTCCCCTGCCTCTGCAGCCTGGGGGCAGGTACTTGCCATCAGCTGCGGAGCAGCTCCTCTCCAGGCTGTGCTCCCTGCCCACTGCCCGGCTGGTGTCCTGCTGTTACAGCTACTGATCCCGGAGCTTACATAAAGAGACACAATTGTTTTTATACAGATCCTGAGGGAGAGGCTGGCAACTTCAGTGTAATTTAATCTAAACCAGGATAAGACAGTAAATATATTGTGTTTGCATAAGGATGAAGTAGGGTGAGTAAAGCAAAAGATGCTGAGGAAAGAAACACCTATATAACTCACAAGGAGGGGAAATATTGAAAGGCACAAAGATTTGTAGTTTG